AGAGGAAGAAAAGGAGTATATATATATAATCAATGTCAATATGATTGAGGAGAGTGTAGAAATCACAAATTAGGTCTATTACGTTAAGTGAGAAGCACATTAACGAAAAATTTTGGGCAGATGGGGTTTGGGGTACGGATAGGCGACAGCTTCTGAGACGTAGCAGTCGGTCCATCGCCGGCCCACACGCGTTATAAGTGCTAGCCACTTTCTCTTTCATTGGCATTACTTCTATTTATTTATTTCATCTGAACAAGCAGAGCCGAAGTTGGCAGAGCTGGATCAAAATTGGTTGTAGAATACACGGGCTATAGTAATCATCATAACAATGATAATGCTATTAATAAGATAAGGGGGGGAAAAATAGTATGAATGGATAGCCAGAAATCAAAAGTGTGGTCATTTTCGTCCAGCCATCAGAATAAATGGAACCGTCAAGGCGAAGGCAACTGGAAAACAGAATTTATTAATGCATGTTGGCGAACTCCTCTTAGGATCCCTTTTTAAGACAGCTATGATTTTTTTATAACTCAAATTGAAAGTTATTCCTAACAAACCCATAGTTGCTGCTATAAATAAAGAATTAGGATGAAAAATACCACTTTTAATTTTTAAAATAATGAAGTTTCTTAACAAGCTGAACATTAATTACTCGTGAACAACGATGAAAAATACCACTTTTAATTTTTAAAATAATGAAATACGTAATTTCATGCATAAGTAAAATGATATACTTAAAAAATTGAAGTTTAGGTGTAAGATGTGTGCATCCATAGTAATTAAGTGGTATGCAAATCATCCTAATTCTTTTTGTACCCACCATTAATCACAAGCAAAGGCAAAAAAACATAAAACATGGCATCAGAAAAATTTGATTTAGTATATCTAACCTTATTTATACAAAAAAAAAAAAAAAATTGAGCATTTTCCATCCAGTTTACTTTGATCTACCAAATATACATAACCTTCAAATTCAATATCATACAATCCATTGTGAACTATATAATATAAGAATTAAATGACAATCAAGCTTCATTCATTTAGGTAAAAGTGGTAGACTACTCGATTAAAATAAAAAATACTGAAAAAAAATTGAATAATAGCCGGACTACATATGTAAAGTACTATAAAAAATATACCATACTTGCCACATTCATCAATTAATATCACCGACCACCACATACAAGCTATTTGAAACTCCAAAACACATTTAAAGTTGCAATCTAATCCATCCATTCTGAAACTTTTGAAGCATCAAATCAATGATTAAACAATCTAAGAAATCCTTACAATCATGAACAGATGACAGAGGATTAGCACTCAAAAGCACACACCAAATCAGCAGAATTTACCTACGCAAAATTACTCGCAATCTTTTTATACTACAAAAACATGTTACTACATTTTTTTTATATTTACTTATGCTAGATATAGATACTGTAAAATCATAAATAATTAAAGGCTAATCAAATGTCAATTAGTAATGAAAGCAGAAAGCGATCAACCACCCACACGCCAACAGCATGTGGCTTCAAATTAGGCATGTATAAGCGAGCAAAACAGAACCAAAACTACGTCAAAATAAAGGTAAATAGACCTAATTATTTCGTAACAATAAAAAATGGTATTTTAATTACATATTTACACCCGTTTTAACTCAAAGAAAAGCCTATTCAGACAAAACAACTTTTTCACCCAAGAAAAAAATGATAGACATAAGTTAATCTAGTAATAAAATCTGCATATCAAAATAAGGCTTGTAAACTAACAGATGGGCCAACAAAATACTTTACAAAAATCCCCAAAAAAAGAGAAAAAAAGACTATCAAATCCATGACTAATGCATATCTCATAATTTGCTAATTTGACAAAAGCGCAAAATACTGGTGAGAATTTTATCCTCATTTGCAACATTGCAAATAACATCATTGATTTACAAATATAAAAGATTTCAATATTATACATGTAGATGCCATAAAAGTTCGAAGCAGAAGACATAAACTTCTGTTTCGTAGTAATTAGTGTATAATCATCATAAAAATCAAGCAAGATATCCAAGAAACTTCAGGACCCTGTAGGCTTCCTTCCACAGTAAAGCAGATGAGTCATTTCATGTACCTCTGAAGAAATTTCCGGTGGAAGTCATTTCTGATGGTGTCATTGATGAAACGCTTTGGCGCTTTTGCCTCACCACGAGCCTGATTCTTGAACACAACGCCGTCGTCCCACCTGAGGCATTTGGAAAAACATAATTTTGGTGGCGAGGATATTAAATAAAGTAATCGGTAATACGAATATGATTGGTAATGAATTGAACTGAACTCAAAGCCGCATTCGACTTGAACTTGAGCTTAAATAATTGTTATGCTCAGGCAGGAACCGGTCCTTCCTGCCGGCCCACAGGCACGCAAGCTTGTGTCGCGGGAAGAAGGGGTACCCGGATCTAGGCGTAGAGGAAGAAAAGGAGGGGGTGGTGTCCACTCGGACCATAATCACATATTCAAGAAGGAGAATTTGATGGGAGTTTGAAGGGAAGTTTAGAAGGAATGTTTTCAAATGCTTTGGGAGGATTCTATGAAGGGGTGCATTATTTTTGGGGCTGCTGTGTTTTATTCTTTTTGTGTTGTTCCTAGCGACGTCTAGGGTATGGGAGAGCCGATCTACCTCTCGAAAGTAGATCATCCTTTGTATCTTGCTTGTTTTTCCTTCGATTGTTGTAAGCAACTCTTATTTGTGTCTTGCCACCTATCTATTGTGATTTCGTCGTGGTTTGTTCGCTGATTTTGATGCTGAGGCGCATCAAATTAGTATCAGAGCATAAATCTTGGTGGGATAACAACAAAAAAAGTTGATGTGCAAGAAGGAGAGGTTGAGCAAATTCGATCCAGAATGGAAGAAATGTTTGCTACCATGGAGGACAAATTTTCTTTTAGTGAAAGTCGAATGAATGATGGATTTGAAGACATAGGAGAAATGCAAGAGATTTTGAAAATGCTCATGGAGATTTAATCCAAGGCCGTGCCATCGTTCCAGTTGCAAACCCTAATCAAGCTTTGATCAAGGATTTCCTGGCCAGGTAAAAGGGGAAGGAGATTGAGCGAGAAGACAACGAAGAATGCATCATCTATCTATAAGAGCATCCCCTTAGGACTTCGAGAAGAGGGGCAATGGAGACTGTCGAAGGAGGAGGATGGGCCCCAAAATTGGAGAAGGGATGGTGGAAGGGGCATGGAAGAGTACGATGGAGGAAGAAGAGAATCAGGAGTGGGATATGCTTATGACGGCAGGAGGGAGTTTCACCCTAGATACATGGGGGGAAATTCTGAAGGGAGAGGAAGTTGGGGTAGAAATGCAAGGGCCAGAAAATTGTAGATGCCGATCTTTGAATGAGAGGATGCATATGGATGTGTGTATCAGCTGGAACGGTATTTTGCAATCACCGGTTGACCGAGGAAGAGAAGCTCATGACAGCGGGATTATGCTTGAAGGGGAGGGCTTTAGCGTGGTTCCAGTGGATGGAGGCAAGGTATCCGATACACTCATGGGAGGAGTTTAAGGCATGTTGAAGCATGTTCGAGCCATTCGAGAAGGAGACCTACACGAGTAATTTTATGTCTGACTCAGGAGGGGATATATATGGAATACCGAGAGAATTTTGAGCTCTTATCAGGCCTACATGAGCAATTCTATGCTTTGACTCAGGAGGGGATATTGAGGGGGATTTCTGACTGAAAAGGAACTTCTTGAAAGGCTTAAAGCCAACATAAGAGCAACCATCCGACCCTTAAGACATCGTGGATTGAGCGAAACGGAGCTTGCCCAGATGTTAGAGCTTAAGAAACATATGAAGAAGATCGACAAAGGCGACAACACCAGGGGATTCTACAAGAGCACCGTGACTGCTACGACACCGAGAACCCAGACGGTGTCATTTTCAGAAAGCGATGCCGAAGGAGAAGAGTAAATGATCCCGACCGGGGGTAATTTCAAGCTCCTCACAGATGCAAAATTGCAGGATAAAAAATCCAAAAAATAGTTTTACTGTTGTGACGAGAAATACGCCCCAAACACTGTTGCAAGGAGCGCGCCCTTCAGGTTCTTTTAGTTTAGGAGGTGGATACAAAGAGTGAGGAATCAAAAGAGGAAGCAACGAATGAGCATCTGTATTTGGATGTGGCGAAGGTGCCTCTCAATTCGGTGATGAAGTTTATCCTGAATCACATCATGAAGGTGAGGGGATGGATCGGAGCACAACCGCTTGTGGTGTTGAGGGATAGTGGGGCCACCATAACTTATCTCAAATCAGGTTGTGGATAACCTAGGGTTGAAGCTAGTGACCGCAGGGAGCTTTGGTGTCATGATTGGGACGGAAGGTGGAGAAAAGTCGAGGATTCTGCAAAGGGTTGATTCTGACACTACATGACCTACAGGTGGTGAAAGACTTTCTTTAGATTTGGGCAGGATAGATGTGATTTTGGGGATGAAATGATTGCGAATATTGAGAGAGATAAAGGTGGATTGGAAGTCCTTAACGATGGAGTTCCAAGTGGAGAATAGAAAGGTGGTGCTGAGAGTAGATGCTTGCTCATGCAAAACCATGGTATCGCTCAAAACCTTGGTCAAATCAATTCGTGGAATAGGACTGGGTTACTTGATGGAGTTGTAGAGCATTCAGGAGGTTTGAGATTCAGAGTTGACAAAGTTTCCGGAAGGTGTCCAACAACTCCTATCATCCTTTGTATCTTGCTTGTTTTTCCTTCGATTGTTGTAAGCAACTCTTATTTGTGTCTTGCCACCTATCTATTGTGATTTCGTCGTGGTTTGTTCGCTGATTTTGATGCTGAGGCGCATCAAATTAGTATCAGAGCATAAATCTTGGTGGGATAACAACAAAAAAAGTTGATGTGCAAGAAGGAGAGGTTGAGCAAATTCGATCCAGAATGGAAGAAATGTTTGCTACCATGGAGGACAGATTTTCTTCTATTGAACGTCGAATGGATGATGGATTTGAAGGTATAGGGGAAATGCGGGAGATGATGAAAAAGCTACCGCCACAAGTACGTGACCACAACACTAGGGGGTTACTATAACCATTAGCATTACCAGAGAAGATTTGAGAAGAATTGACGATGGATTTTATCGCGAGATTGCCACGGTCAGAAGGGTTCACGGTGATTATGGTGGTTGTGGATCGCTTAAGTATGCACATTTCCTTCCCTTACGACATCTCCACACTGCGGTCTCGGTCTCGACGGTGTTTATCTGGGAAGTAGTTCGTTTGCACGAGGTGTCGAAATTGATTGTATCGGATAGGGACAAGGTGTTCCCCAGCCACTTCTGGAAAGAGCTATTTAGTTTGCAAGGGGTAATCCTTAAAAGGAGCATCGCATATCATCCCCAGACTGATGGGCAGCCAGAGGTGGCCAACATCAGTGTCGAGACATACCTGCATTGTTTTGTATCTGATACGCCGAAGTTATGGGCCAAGTGGATCGCACAGGAAGAGTATTGGTATCATATTTCATACCACACTGCCACACAGACAACCCCTTTCAAAATATTGTATAGGCGGTATTACCTCATGAGATACATTATGGGCATAGCAATGCACCGGTATGCAGTGATGATCGGAGGAGAGAGACGGGATACTAGCAGAGCTCAAGAGTCATCTTCCGAGGGCTCAACAAATCATGACGAAGAAAGCAGATGGACATAGAAAAGAAATGCAATTTAAACCAGATGACATGGCCTGCTTGAAGCTGAGGCCCTACCGACAGAAGACATTGGACACGAGAAGAAGCGAGAAACTTTCACTGAGATACTTTGGGCCTTATGAGGTGATGACAAGCATCGAGGCAATGGCCTACCATTTGAAGTTACCACCATCATCCGCACTACACCCGGTCTTCCATGTATTTTAGCTGAGACAAGCGATTGGAGATCACACGCCCTCATTAACACTACCACCGATGCTGACTGAGGACTTGGAGGTGATTCTGGAGCCATTAAAGGTTGAGGGAGTGCGTCGAGTAAGGAGAACGAAAAAGGTATTGGTTAAGTGAAAAGAACTGCCAGACTAAGAAGTGCATGAGAGCCTTACGAGGTGATCCATAAGCAGTTTCCCTCTTTCCACCTTGAGGACAAGATATTTTTCTTTGGAGTAATGTTACGCTCAGGCAAGAGCCGATCGAGCTGGTCAAAGAAGGATCGGCTGATTGCAATCCTATCAGCCCACAGGCAGGTCGGCTTGTGTCGCGGGAAGAAGGGGAGGGACTCAGGTGAGGCACAGAGGAAGGAAAGGAGGGGGTGGGTCCCACTTGGGCCATGATCACATATTCAAGGAGGAGAAATTGAAGGGAGTTTGGAGGGGAGTTTAAAAAGAAAATTTTCAAATGCTTTGGGAGAATTCTATTAAGGGAAGGAACCTAGGGTTTGTTGTTTCTTATGCATTATTTTTGTGTTGTTGCGTTCTCTTCCTTGACGTTGTTCCTAGAGACGTCTAGAGTGTCGGAGAGTGATATACCTCTCGAAAGTAGAACATCTTTTGTATCTTGCAGGTTTCTCCTTTGATTGTTGCAAGAACTACCCTTATTTGTGTCTTTCCACCTATATATTGTGATTTCATCGTGGTTTGTTCGTTGATTTGGGTGCTTAGGCGTTTCGGTAATTAACCCAATTTGAGCTCGAGGTTAATTCTATGAGTTTGAGCTGCTCATTTATAATGAAATAGCAAAAATTCTTTTGATGCAAACATTTATTGTGATATAATAATAAAAAATATGAGAAAATAGAAAAAATAAGAAATCACTTAATTCAAGTAATCAAAATAAAATTTTTATCAATTATTAACATCATTGTATTCAAGGAAAACAAATATTTTTAAGAAGATTTACATACATACCACTTCTTATGTATTACATATCTAACACCTAATCTTCAACTTTTACATATATGTCATCTTACCTATGCATGAAAAGATATATTTCACCTTTTAATAGCTAAAATAGTAGTAGTTTTGATTTGACGGGAAGTAAAATTTTGGTGTTAGATAAGTAAAAACGAAAGAATTAGGTGGTAAGTACGTAAATGCCCTTATTTTCTAGGTGGATTATACAATAATATCTTGGAAGATTTACATGCACGCCAATCAATTCTTATGCATTTACATATCCAACACCAAAAATCCATTTTTTTACATATATGCCACTTTATGCATGCATGAGAAGATAAATTTCACTTTTCAAAAGCTAAAATAATGATATTTTTTTGTGATACAAAAGATTTGGGTGATATCAATATTTAGGTATTAAAAATGTAAATACATAAAAATTGGGTGGTATGTATGTAAATGCCCCTAATATTTTTTAGATGAGCTCGCTCAAGTGATAATGAATTAAATTAGAATTTGCTCAAGTTTAGCATATTAACTCATTAAACTCGATTCACAAGTCATTTATAGAGCTGAGCTCAAGCTGGCACATGAGTCCGCTTCACTCAATTAAACCCTAATGATTGCCATTACCTTCTTTTAACATTGAAGGAAGATGAATTGTTGAGATTGATTAGCGGGTTGCCTCGCATAAGCTCGGCTTCCTTAGCCTTCAAATCCTCTTCCTGCTTCTGTCGCTCCTGAAATATTGAAGATGGTTTGGTGTTAATGAAGGATTGCATCAATAATGAAATAACAGAACAAAAATAAATTGCAAGGAAATCAAAATAGTCGATCCAGTATAATTCTAAGTTTTGCAAAATGAATATGAAGATTTTTTTACTACATTTTCATAAAAAATATAAGGAAGATTTACCGACGTGCCAGTCAATTCTTATGTACATACATATCGAACACCTAAACATTAATTTTCTCATATATATATCACCTTACCTATGCATGAAAAGGTGTATTTCACATCTTTAAAGTTAAAATGGTGGTATGTTTAATGTGATATGAAAGATTTGGGCGGTGTACAAGTAAAAATTGAAGTTTAGGTAGTAGATATGTAAATACATAAGAACTAGATGTTATGTATGCAAATGCCACAATATATAATGAACAAATATAGATATATGTTCAATTGACATATTTGATTTTCTTTATAGCATATACATCTTAGACACGATGAGCAAAAAAGGAATGCATTAGATGGATAGAAATATGACACTTTTGGCTTTTTCATAATTTTTTGGAGTAATTTACATGGTTCTTAACATGATTGTAATGCTAGACTCAATCTGCATTTTGTATGATATCAAGATTTTTTTTTTTTTTTTTTTTGGG